CCGCTCAGTGTACTCGTCCTTTATTTGATATACAGATATCTCGCCTTTGTCATAGGTGACGTAAGTTGGCAAAAGCTAAACGAGCTTTTTAGATTTGTGCCGACTTTTCATAACTCTACGGAAACCGATAATTCCTAGAATAAATAAACCGCTCCGCGAGATTCGAACCCAGGACCTATCAGTCTAGCGCGCGAACACTTAATCTCTAGAAAACTGAGTTGACCGGCATCCAACGGTGTTAATGTTGAACTTCAACCAATCCACGAAATTGCGCTACCGTCTACTATTGTTATCAGTAAGTTACCATCTCGCAACAAATCTGGTTGAATTCCACTGGTCACTACTTCTCACTAGAACTCCAGGAAATATATCTTAAAGTCAGTCACTAGTGAGTAGATGATAATTATTATGAGAAGAAGGGTTTTATACCGATTAATTTATTCATTGCTCTCCATATCAAAATTGATAATCGTTGATCAGGATAGGTAGATTTATATTCGAAGAATTTCACTTTCATCATTAATTCATGTCTCCAATGACGAATTATGCAGATAGGATAATGATTACAGTTTATGTGTATTCATACGTTATTAGACGTGAAAGAACATGGACCTTTGACTTGCATCATACCTTGATATTTCGATCCTCCAATACCTTTTGTCTGTGATCAATCTACTGAAATGGTACTTTTATAGTAAACCAGCAAGAATTCTAGTTTAACGAACTTACTTGAGAAGAATATCTTATTCAGATCTCACATTTTACGTATGAATCTGGCTTTGATCACGAACTAATGGTCAATCGATCTAAAGTTGTGATGTCAAACTGAAGAGAATATACGAAAAGTGTGATTTCACTAAGCTAAGTAAGATGATATTTAGGTCTCTTGTTTAAAGACTACTTCTCTGTCACACTATACGTAGATAAGTTAGTGAGAAAGCTGGGAGCCCCAATTAATGAGGACATTAACTGTTAAACTAGGTTGTGTTAGTAGATGAAGACTATCTAGTTAGGGTCCGCACGATTACAGTGTTTAATGATTGATGTTCGGTGACATGACTTATTATCCGGTTTTAACGACACAGGTACATTCACTCTTTGTTTTCCCCTAGATTTTGAAAGATTTATCTATTTTAACACATAAACAATGGTACAGGGAGACACGAAATACATATACCCCGAGCAGTGCTTCTTAGTTTTCAATGGTGGTCTAACTTACATTGACTAATGAATTCAACTATTAAAATTACTACAATCTGCACAAACATCCATGCTGATCATAAGGAATACATGGAAAACGAAATACCACTTTAAATCAGACATTATCTCAAGTGAAATGAAATCGTTGTACTACTACTATATCAATCATTCTCTTTTCTTAACCTTCTGCCCCTGAATGCCCTGGTACGGCCGAAAGTGGGGAGAGTCTTCTGTCACTCTCATATAGACACGCGTATACAGTCACTGCCAGGGAAGTTCTACTCATTGCCTACTCATCGCGTGGATGTTGTTTACGAAATTAAGAGGATTGGATATGGAGAGTCCATCTAGAGGAGTTGGAAGATCCTGATTCCAAACCAATAATGGGCTCCATAGTCCTGATGGAACAAATGGCGTATGAACCAATCGTTGGTCACTGATTACCATGGGATTGCATCTCCTTACGTTGATCCACTGCCTTGTGGATCAGACCTTTAGGTCGAAGGCTTCAGGTGTGTCACCTTAAGAAAATCACATGCTTCGGTTTGGGCATCCGGGCAGTATCACAGCCCTCACACAAATTAAGAGAATTGTGTGGCGCATATCTCGTTCTTGCCTCCTCTGAGGAGAATCAGCTCTCCCTCTCGAAATGTTCTCACATGTATACAACTATTGCCAGGGAAGTCCTACTCACTGCCTTCTCGAGACATTACTGTTATTTATGAAATTGAGAATATGATACTTTAACCGGGTTGGTGGACACAGAGTCTACATGATGGATTTGGAAAAGCCTCATTCCATAACAACGGTTCATATTGGATCCAGGATCTTAAGAAAACAAATGGCATATGAACCTATTGTTGGTCACCGGCTACCATGGGACTGCAGGTCCTGACATTGCTCCACAGCCTTGTGGATCAGACCTTTAGATCGAAGGTTCTGGATGATGCCCTTGGGCACACGGGAAGTATCACAGTTCACACACAAATCAAATGACTTGTGTAGCGCATATGTATTCAGTGGCCCTTTGTACGAATATTTGTGTTCAAATAAATAAATAGCTGTATGTTCTACATTTGTCTCCATCGTCTATTCATTATTTATGTCTATAAAAAATTCATCGATTGTATCGTTAGTCATTTGTAAGTGATATTCATAATGAGATCAATTCAGCATATTCTGATGAGTTCTATGTAACCTTTTATTATAATTAGTGACCATTTGTACCCTGTTAATATACGATCATCAATTAAAGTCACCGACTTATTCATCAAACCAATGATGCATAAACCAATACGTGAAGCCTTGTCTAACCCAGACGCCGATTCACTCTAAAATGTAAATGTCCACATCCATTCATATTGAATCATATAAATCAAACATACTTGGCTTATATACAAGCAACATCAGACCATATCACACCATAAAATAGAAAATAACAGTTGTGCCAAGATCATGACCAAAAAGTGGCACCGGTTAAAGCACCGGACATTCGCTTTTCGTCTTCTCAATTTCGTAAACAACAGTATTGCCGCGAGAATGGAGTGAGTAGGACTTGCATCGCAGGGGCTATATGCGTGTGGCCATGTGAGAGCATTTCGAGAGGAAGAGCGGATTCTACCCACCCTCGGCCGTACCAGGACATTTTGGGGCACAATACAGTTATATAATAAGAATAGTTTTCAGAAGTTTCTCATTATTTAATCTTTATTCGGACAGAACACTTTATTATGAATCCATCCAGTGTATACTGTATAATTTTGGACTGAATAATTGATACAACTCCTTCATTATCACTATAATTAAAAAACTCCTAAGCAAATCATCACTACTACACTGGGCTAGTCAGAGCTATCCTAAATGATAAGTGGACGCTATTGAGCAATATTTGGCTTTCTTTAGCACCATAAAGTTGGAGGGTAATTCTATTAATGGAAAAGACAATCACGATAGATGCTCAGTGCTGTAGAGTTTGAAAATTCGAGTGCGAGACCGAAGATCACGAGTTCGAATCTAGCGAGCTGGACCGTAGGCCACAAACAAGTAGGACTACTAAAAATTTCCTTTATTTGTGATTGTGGTAATCAAATAACTTGTGGACTTTGTGCAGACTACCGTGATGAGGTTGTTTTTCGATTTAATGTGTGTTGGAGGAAGAAGTCCGCTAGAATAGGATTTTTTCGCTCGATGCAGATTGAGACTACAGCAAATTATGACATGTAGCGAACTGAATAATAAAAGCAACAGTAACACTGGCTGCTACCCTGTACCACAATATATACGGATGATTAAAGAGCGTACTGATCGCTACATAGACTTGTTTATGTATATCGTGTCCTTATCCACAAGTGGTATTTTCTAGGCCCAATCACCGGAGTACACACAAACAATACTGAAGCTATTTGGTTGAATAAGTTTTTGCGACTTTATCATAGATAGCTCCAAAGACCGACTATTATGAAGCCATATAGATGATTTCTACTATCGTATCTATTACGATTTTAGAACCTCTAAACCACTTTCTAACCTTAACAAGTTTTTGAACCATTTATAAGAAGTGTATTCACTTTAATTCTTTAATTTTGTATAATATATTTTTACTCTACACTAACCGTTCTCTGATTGGTCTCGCCATTTGAACCAACGATCTTCCACTTGGAACGTCATCAACAAAGATAGTTACACTTTATGTACTATACAACATACCAATGAAAGTTAATTAACTGATCAATTAAAAGAACTCATAAACCTGAATAATACTTATTTTTATTTATTTATTTTAACACATAGATATTGGTACAAGGAGACACCAAATAGACATGCGCCACAAAAATCTCATTCGATATGTGTGAGGGTTGTGATACTGTCCAGGTCCCCAAACCGAAGGAGGTGGTTATCTTAGTGGGCCACACTCCGAGCCTTTGACCTAAAGGTCTAACCCACAAGGCAGTGGAGCATCGTGGAGATGCAATCCGATGATAACCGGTGACCAACGATTGGTTCATACGCCATTTGTTCCCGCAGGATACTGGAGCCCATGTGCACCATTGATTTGGAATCCGGTTAAAGCGCCGGACATTCGCTTTTCTTCCTCTCATTTTTGTAAACAACATCCCCGCCACGAGAAGGCAATGAGTAGGACTTCCTTGACAGAGGCTATATACGCGTAGCTGTGTGAGAGTATTTCGAGAGGGATAGCGAAACCATCCCGTTCTCGGCCATGCCAAGGCATTTGAGAGCTAAATTTCAAACGCGGTTGGGCTATTTTGTTTACTATCCTACATATATGTTGTATAAGCTATATGGCATTCTAACATAGATACAAACAATATAATAAAGCAATTGAATTTCAACAGTGTATGATATATGTGTTGTTCTTTTTTTCTCTCTCATTTTGTTTTATTATAATCATTGATTATTTATTAGTTACAGTAAAGTATTGTGTACACATCCATTAAATAATTTTACAGATAAAAATAAGATAACAAAAAAAGAGAAAAAAAAATAAAGAAAAACTTCCAGTTAGAAACAACTGAAAATACGAGGGGGGGGGTGAGGGTTTTCTGTCTTGTCCAAAAAGAAAAAAAATTTAAAAAATATGTAATATATAATAAATAATAATAAACATTATAAATGATATGTGTTATTGTTTTGTTTTTCTTTAATAATAAACAAATAAACAACAACAGCCTAAAGATTAAAAGAACAAGCAATTAGGACTCATTTATTCACAATAAACATTTAAAATAATAATAATAATAACAATAATGAATAATATAGTTTACCCCTTTGTTTTATACCTTCTATAGAATGTATTGTTATATAATGTCATATGGATAAATGAGATCATGAAAAGACTGGTGGACTTTGACGAGCTTTTCTATATCAAAATATAAAAAAAACAAACAAACAAACAAATAATGAATACTAGTATAGGGGTTGTGGAGATTATTAAGTTTTTGATTGAGATCTTGAACCAATTAATGTTAGACCATCACAATTGAAAATCTGGAAGCACTGGACGGCCGTTTCGTCCTATTGTGGGACTCCTCAACAGTGCGCATCCACGATCCCGCGAGTGGGATTCGAACCCAGGGTCTTCGGTCTCACGTGCGAACGCTTAACCAACTGGACCACTGAGCCGGCATCCAATAGTGATAGTTTCTAACATCAACCAATCCACGAAATTGCGCGACCAACTTCCATTGTACTTAAGTTGATAACTGTCTCTACCCGACAAGGATTAGCTCCACTGGTCACGGCTTCTCACTAGAACTCCGAGAATTCCCTCACGAAGCTAATCAATGTTATATCAATAGTTGAGATCATGAATATAAAGTATTTAAAGATTATTTTCATGAGATGTTTGATAGTAGAAAAACAACGATTAGAAACCAAGAATGTGCAAATATGACGTAGACTAAATTTGGTCTTATGAATTTTACAATTGTGAAGTGGAGAACAATCGTTTTTTAATCAGTGATTTGGAATCTTCAAGTCTGGATATTTGATATAAACTGTTAATCAAACATATCAATTATAGGCCAAATGATAGGTGACTGATGTTGATGAGTACATACTCAGTTAGCTACAAGGAATTGAAAAGGGAGATTGATTATGAATACAGTGGTCTTGAGTGCTGTTAAAGGTATGAGAGCGGTTATCACTTCCCGGTTGCCCACACTGTGGAAGGGTTCTTCTGGAGGTACCTGAAAAGGAAATTGGATTAGAGGTGGTCTTAGTGACCTGGGAGCGTGACCGCAGTGCCCAAGGGACAACTGCTTGAGGTCGGTCACACACGACCTTTTTATGGGTGATTTTTGTGTTAGCTCCGTACGTGTTGAGACCTTAAGGCTGGAGACGGATATCCGTGGGATAAGGCGAGGTGTGTATTTTTAGGGTCGACCTTTTCTGAACCCACCCCTCCTTATGGAAAGGCAGCATCGCTGTCATGCTGGTTGTCTGAAGGAAACACCTTACTGCTGTCACACCTCTGTACAGTCAGAAGTACGACTTCGCCTTCGGACCTTGGGTTTTTTGCTTTTAGTCTTACCGCTCTTCAACCGACCTGTCTGACATGGTAGGACCTTGAGGAACGGTTGTTCCAGCCAGTATAGCTCGGTTGGTTCATCACAATAAGCAAACCCGACCACCACGTCAAGGTAGCAACAACGATCAGGATGAGTGCATACTAGTGACTAACTAAATGACTATTCGACAGATACAGAGATATGTTATTCCTTGAAATTGAGCATAATCATTTAAGGGATATACATCTACAATATGAATTTGTGAACAGTTGACCAGTTTTCCACATTTTTTAACTGATTGTTTAACCAAAGTATATCCATGAAATAAAATACTTTTAAAACAAATGGTCTTTACGAACCTATTGTACTGACACGACATGGTTTTGATAAACACTTTGTTCTAAACTGAAAAATCATTTATTACTGACAATAACAATCACGTCAAGCAAAACTCGACTGCATTGAGTTGATATATACGGAGAGATAATATTTTGCAAAACAAACAGAGGGTAAGCTATGAAAGAACACTCGTGACAAAAAAACGTGAAACATCATAGTGAGCGAAAAAAACTAAACAACTGTTGAAATTACTACAACCTCCACAAAACCCCCTTCTGATACTAATTAACATATGCTCACTAATGACTGGCTTCAAGAGGTATATCCTGGAGTTCTAGTGAGAAGCAGTGACCAGTGGAGTTTAACCGGGTCGTTTGTGAGTTAGTAACCCACTGATGACAATGGTGGATGTGTCGCTCAATTTTACGGATTGATTGAAGTTAGCCATTAACACCGTTGGATGCTGGCTCAGTGGTCTAGTAATTAACCGTTCGCGCGTGAGACTGATAGGTCCTGAGTTCGTGGGGTCGTGGATGCGCACTGCTGAAGAGCCCCATAATAGGACGAAACGACCGTCCAGTGCTTCCAGATTTTTTATGGTTGTCTAGCTTCAATTGACTCATGATCTCAACTGTTGAAACTACTACAATCGCCACAAAACCCCTTCTGATACAAAACAATAAAAACCATGAATACACTAGAAACAATTACCAATTAATTGTTGTAAAACACAATAACAAAATGATACATACCCGCAAAAAAAAAGAAGAAAGAGAACACGCTACAAACATGAACACATACCACCGGTAAAAATCACACACAAACAATAATGTACAAACCTTTGTATAGGAAGTGTAAATTTATGTTAACTGTAAAACAATGAAAATATATCAGAGATATAATGAGAAGAAACAAATCATTATTCAATCATTTAAATTGTAGGGACAAAGAGAACGAGAGAGCAGTAAATCACAATCATAATGATAAAATTAATACAAACCTAATGAGTAATCAATAAAAATTGAAGTCCAAAATGGGTTATGCCGATTGACAGGAAAGGGAGAGACGGTATAGAATACAGTCAATTCTGAATTTATTTAACTGTTACAGAGTGATTATTTTAATCTTCTATTTGACTGAAAAGAGTTAGATATGTAGTATAATGATAAAATGTTCAATAGTAAGCTGAGACAATTGTATATAACTCTTTGGTTTAACTTAAATGATGGATATGAATGTTAAAATGAATTTGTTAATGAATGAAGTGAAATATGCAAATAACTTAGTGATGATGTAATAGAAAGAAATACAAAGTGATTTTAATGCTAATTTTCATTTATCTATTGCAAAATTATATCATCTATGCTGTAGGCGAGTTGATCATCGATAAGTTAAACAACGAACATACTGCTAAACAGTTGGTTTAGTTTTACTTCATGATTATGAGATGCAGCCCCCAAATGCCCTGGTACGGCCGAAAGTGGGGAGAGTCCGCTCTCCCTCTCGAAATGCTCTCACATGGCCACGAGTATATAGCCTCTGCAAGGGAAGTCCTACTCATTGCCTTCTCCTACCAGGGGTGTTGTTTACGAAATTGAGAGGACGAAAAGCGAATGTTCGGCGTTTTAACCGGATTCCAGACCAATGGTGCACATGGGTTCCAGTATCCTGAGGGAACAAATGGCGTATGAACCGATTGTCGGCCACCGGCTACCATGGGACTGCATCTCCTCACGATGCTCCATTGCCTTGTGGATCAGACCTTCAGGTCAAAGACTCCGGGTGTGGCACCCTAAGAAAACTACCTGCTTCGGTTTGGGCACCCGGGCAGTATCACAGCCCTCACACATATCGAATGAGATTTGTGTGGCGCATATGTATTTGGTGCCTTCTTGTACCAATATCTATGTGTTAAAATAAATAAAAAAATTCTTAAATGTGAGTGCTTTGCGGTAGATGATATGAATAAGTTAAAAGTACAACACAGTGTGGTAACTTGGACTAATTTGGATCTATGCTAGGTTAAAGGTTGATTATTATTAACTGATACACAGATAATTCTCAAGTAAAATATCAAGACCTTAGGTAGTTGAATCAGTAGTACCAAATATTTAATAAAACGGTCAAATAAAACTTGTTTTCTTGTTCTCACAACATACTACTGTAATACGGTAATAGGACCGGTGAATAAGATTTTACTAACACTAGACTGGATGGTCGATCGGTACACTATAAACAAACTGGACCATGTTATACTAGATACAAGATCCACGACCGAAAATGGTGAACTAGAATATAGACTTGTTATAATTTGTGACCTTTGTGCCCTGTTAATATATCACGCAATATGATCATCAATTAAAGTCACCGACTTATTCATCAAACCAATGATGCATAAACCAATACGTGAAGCCTCGTCTAACCCAGACGCCGATTCACTCTAAAATGTAAATGTCCACATCCATTCATATTGAATCATATAAATCAAACATACTTGGTTTATATACAAGCAACATCAGACCATATCACACCATAAAATAGAAAATAACAGTTGTGCCAAGATCAAAACAAAAAAGTGGCTGTGATTGTGAGAAACGGCGACTAATAAGACTAGACATTATGTAACATAACTAGAAGCAGCCAATGTCCAATTAGTCTAGAGTAGAAATCAGTGATGGAAAGAAGATCATATATTAAATAGATAATGTCTATCAGTTCACATTCAAAGGCCAACCATATGCTACTTTAACTACCACACATCAATATTTTAAACCAAGATTATGATAAATATAAACACTGAAAAATGATGGGGTAGTTGACTTTGCGACGCAACATGTCCCATTGACGTAGTAGAGGCAGTCCTAATGACTTGTTTTACAAACATAAAAATTCAACATACAACATAGACGTCAAAGGTATTTACAGAAGAAATGACTTATCCTGATTGAAGTTTATGCCACCAAATCCTTAGTACAACGGAGGGTGAGGCACGTCCACTATCCCAAGACTACAGAACTATTTGACCAGAATTAGACATTCTTATTTTAAGCCCCAATAAAAAAAATCAGCTACAAGTAGAGTAGTGTAGTGAACATACCATAAAATAAATGTGTAAGCAATAAGTAGATGGTTTCCATAGAATAAACAAAAGGAATTAACTTTGCTGTGGAGTAGAGACTGCAGATACTATAGCAGTTCATTTACGGATTTCACCATGTTGTTAAAAGCAAGCAATCAACATACCGAAATAGCCACACATAGTGTCTTTAATTATTAGTAAAAATAATGAATGATGGTTACCGTAATGAATTATTGGGAAGAAATGAAAATTCAAAATCACAAAATAACTAATAAGTGATTTTTCTAGAGGATCCAATATGAACATTTACCAAGTATAGACTCATTTACTTGGTCTTCCGATATTTTTATGAAAGTTGATAATAATATAGTGAACGAAAACTACCTATATTTGTCAACATAAATAGTATACGCAAAAATACTACTCAACCGCTTGAACAAAACTTAGTAAATTAAGGTTCGAACCTGAGATCCTACACGTCATATTTCTCAATATTTCGTGTATCAGTCAACAATTTATACCACTAAAATAGATGTTTGAGATATCTAATCGAAGAAAATCACTCCTTGTTAATTTCTATGATAAAACCGATCAACCAAGAGGTTAACATAATTAATTTAGTATCAGAAAGGGCTTTGTGGATATTGTAGTAATTTTAATAGTTGAGATTATGAATCAATTGGAAGTAAACGATCATGGGAAACCTGGAAGCACTGGACGACCATTTCGTCCTGTTGTGGGACTCCTCAGCAGTGTTTCCATATATATATGTAATGATTACATAATGTTACAACTGACTAATAGTGAATAGTATATATTCTGATGTAATCCTCAACAGAATCCAAAAAGAACATCATATAATGTTTAACCGACAAATTTACTAGGCGCATGGATTGAAGCTTGAAACTCTATGCACTAAAATCGATTGATTAACTTCATCATTACATTTATTTAGAGTAAAAAATACAAACCATATCCAAATTGGATAGAATAATACATACTATAAAGCAAGCCCTCACATGGAATCCTCAAGGCCAAAGGAAAAGAGGAAGACCAAAGAACACAATACACCGAGAAATCGAGACATACGTGCGAAAAATGAACAACAATTGGATAGAACTAGAAAGGAAGGTCCAGGACAGATTGGGATGAAAAATGCTGCTCGGCAGCCTACAATCCATTGGGTGTAACAGGTGTAAGTAAGTAAGTAAGTAAGTAAGTAAGTAACTAAGTAAGTAAGTAAGTAAGTAAGTAAGTAAGTAAGTAAGTAAGTAAGTAAGTAAGTAAGTAAGTAAGTAAGTAAGTAAGTAAGTAAGTAAGTAAGTAAGTAAGTAAGTAAGTAAGTAAGTAAGTAAGTAAGTAAGTAAGTAAGTAAGTAAGTAAGTAAGTAAGTAAGTAAGTAAGTAAGTAAGTAAGTAAGTAAGTAAGTAAGTAAGTAAGTAAGTAAGTAAGTAAGTAAGTAAGTAAGTAAGTAAGTAAGTAAGTAAGTAAGTAAGTAAGTAAGTAAGTAAGTAAGTAAGTAAGTAAGTAAGTAAGTAAGTAAGTAAGTAAGTAAGTAAGTAAGTAAGTAAGTAAGTAAGTAAGTAAGTAAGTAAGTAAGTAAGTAAGTAAGTAAGTAAGTAAGTAAGTAAGTAAGTAAGTAAGTAAGTAAGTAAGTAAGTAAGTAAGTAAGTAAGTAAGTAAGTAAGTAAGTAAGTAAGTAAGTAAGTAAGTAAGTAAGTAAGTAAGTAAGTAAGTAAGTAAGTAAGTAAGTAAGTAAGTAAGTAAGTAAGTAAGTAAGTAAGTAAGTAAGTAAGTAAGTAAGTAAGTAAGTAAGTAAGTAAGTAAGTAAGTAAGTAAGTAAGTAAGTAAGTAAGTAAGTAAGTAAGTAAGTAAGTAAGTAAGTAAGTAAGTAAGTAAGTAAGTAAGTAAGTAAGTAAGTAAGTAAGTAAGTAAGTAAGTAAGTAAGTAAGTAAGTAAGTAAAAGTACTACATATTATAACCATTGAATGATACATATCAATCTTAAGCCTTAATAGATCTAAAACGGAATACGATAACCAAGTGATGCATATTAAGATGTCTAAGCTATTAAAATCATAAATCAAAGTAACATGCATAATGGATAAATAAGAAATGATTGAATGTAATGAATCATATTACTTTTAATGATAATGATGATGGGAAGAAAATAAGATGGAAACCAGAGTGTTTACACTCTTTCCCACCCCCGAAAAAGCTTTATTCAATTATAGAAAGTGATGATTCTCTTGTTTTTGTTGTTGTTGTTGATATCACACAATAGAATGATGTAATAGGGGAATATAATCTCATTAATTATTACTTACTTAATTTGCACATCGAATTAAACAAACGGATGAAGGAAATATTGGACTATAAATAATATGTATATCATTTATAGTATAATAGAATAAAAGATAAGTTATATATATAATTGAAATATTATGTAATGAAAGTGAATATGATATATTAATGGTATAGTCAGTGCATGACATGGTGTCTTGGTATAAAAGAAAGCTGCAAACGACTGGCTTCTGTCGGTCCTTCACGGCTCCCTGGTTGGGGTCTGAGAGATGGTGCAACACAGTGGCTAGAGACGTTATCAGATATGGCTCAGAATAGAAGCCAGTGGCGATTCTGCTGTAACCTTCATTTACTTTCTTCATAAAAAGTGGTTGTGTCTCCCTTACCTGAATGATTTCTTCTGATTGTATCTTTCCGTTCCCTCGTTACTACCACACTACCTTACACCAATCTCTTCGTTATTGTTCTTTTTTTCTTTTTGCGCTCCTTAGTTTTTTTTTTTATTTATTTATATTTCTCTTCGAATTCTCATTGTTTTGTGTGGCGCATATATATTGGCGCTCTTCTGTACCAATATTCATGTGTTCAAATAAATAATAAATAATTAATGGTATAGATAAATGTACACTAATCATTCAATTACATGTTTACCTTACTCTTAGGATAAGTGAGAAATTAATATGCCCGGAAGTTTTATTGTAATTATGTTCTAACAATGTTACAATGTGAAATATGTAGGTAATCACAGTAGAAAAAGCTACGTCTTAAAAAAGCAGTTACAAAGAGTAGGAGTTTCCGGTATGTTATTTATTTGAACACATAAATATTGGTACAAATGGGCACCGAATATATATGCGCCACACAAGTTACTTGAATTGTGTGTAGGCTGTGATACTGCTCCGGTGCCCAAACTGAAGCAGGTGGTTTTCTTAGCGGGTCACACTCGGAGCCTTCAACGTAAAGGTTTAATTCATAAGGCAGTGGAGCAACGTCAGGAGATGCAGTACCATAGCAGCCACTGACCAACAGTTAAATCATACATCATTTGTTCCATCAGGATCATGGAGACTAATGTGCAACGGTGGTTTGGAATCATTGTTTACCAACTCCCCTAGGTGGACTCTCCGTGTCCACCACAACCCGGTTAAAGCACCGAACATTAGCTTTTAGTCCTCTCAATTTCGTAAACTAAACCACTGCAGCGAGAACGCAATAAGCACTTCGTTTTATGAATTAGTTGTACTAAGGATGTCGAAATTAAAATATACTCGATATTTTTTTGATATGACATGCAGTATTAGACTGCTCCTATATGTCGAGAGTTGAGTGTTATATCCGAGTGAAGATTAAATTACGGGTAACTTCCGAGGACTATTAATGGACTAATATTTTATAAATATATTCTTATTACATAATTATTTAATAATTACATTTACATTTCTCTTATTATAAGCTTTATTTTGACCTATAATTTATTATTGTACGATTTACGTTTCTTAAGCTATGCTCATTTTATTGACCACTGCCTCCCACGCTCACAGCCACATTTGGCCAAATATTGTACAAATGTTATTTTTTATTTTATGGTACGTTGTGGTCTGTCTGGTTGATATATAAACCGAGTATGTCTGAAATAAACGATTCGATCCGATTCATATTGCAGAAGCTGGTATTGTGTTCTGGACTCAAGCGGACGGGTTAGACAGACATAGGACCAATAAGGACGCTAGGCTGCTCATACCGGTCGAACGTCATTGGTTTGACATAGTGCTAAGATTTGTATAAGTCGTATTTCGACTGGTGGATAGATCACGTGATAAAAGCCTGACATAAAATCATAACAGGGAAGGTCAGCTCTCCCTCTCGAAATCTTCTCATATGGCCACATGCATACAACTATTGCCAGGGAATCCTTACTCAGTACCTTCTGGCGGCATTACTGCTGTTTACGGAATTGAGAGGATGGAGCTTTAACCGGGTTCGTGGACACGGAGAGGCTATCTGGAGGAGTTGGAAAACCCTTATTCCAAACAATTGGTGCACATGGACTCCATGATCCTGATGGAACAAATGACGTATGAACTAATCATTGGTGATCGGTTTCCATAAGACTGCATCTCCTGACGTTGTCCTACTACCTTCTGGATCAGACCTTTAGGTAGAAAGCTCAGGGTGTGGCCCCCTAATGTTTATGTGTTTAAATAAATAAATAATATTAGACTGATTGGTGTATGAAATCAGAATTTATGTTGTATCGAAATTACTTATGCCGAACAGTGGAGGTGTGATAACCTTATAATTAGCTAGGATCAACAGTCAGAGTCATCCTTATACGGTATAAGTAGAACCCCTGCCAATTTATCAGGAAACAACTATTCCCAATCGCATTAACTGGTCGCAGTGTTATATGACGAATAGGTTTGGGCTAGAACTGTACCACTGAATTCTGCCCTGGAGGTGCTGATGACCAAGAGCTCGTCACAAATCCTGAAGGTCTTCAGTACGATCCGTTGAAGGGTTGTGTGCACACAAACAAAACAAACGCTCAGTGCTCTGTGGTCTTCAACGGCACTTAAAAAGATGCCAATTTGTGACGTTTACTACCTACATATTGAAACAAACCCTATAATATATATATACATATATATTGGAAACTGAGATATCAATAGAAGGACAATTTACTTTGTTCCAGTATAACTCCCTTACTCTAAAATGGCTTAAGAGAATTCCGAATTTCAAATGATTAAGAGATTCTTTTTGTACGAAACAGGATCTACATGTATATTATACAGACTAGACAAATAATTTGCAGCAATTCAACAATAATCTTCCATGCAATACAACAGAGGTCAAGTACTCCAGAAACACCTGATATTTCAAGAAGTTGAAATAGTCATCGAACAACTCTATTCATATATAGTCACAGCTATGATCACAGAGTACAACAAAATTAACCAAACAAAAAGGAAAGAGACTGAATAGATAACAATAGATGTCACTAGGATGATATAAATTGAAAGAAAAGTTACTAGAGTACTTTTCACACATTCAAACAACTAGTCATCAAAAAAAGTATTAAAAAAGAACCCGGATAATTTAAAGACCATTCTAGTAGTAACAGAGAGCTGACATAGTGATTTATTTGTTGCTAACAATAATACAGTCCCAACAACAACAACAACAACAAAAAGTTATACAAATCATTTACTTACCGTTTACCATATACAAAATGCACAATAAGGAATGCTATACCAAGGCATATATGTATAGAACCAGTAATTAAACAAATAATTCCAAGTGTTGGATTTTTTCCACCTAACCAACTAGCATTGGCTAATATAAATGTTTTTCTACCACCAAATGAAGTAACTGGATAAACTGAAAATGAAAAAGTAAAATAAAGTTAGGATATTAATGTGAATGACATTGTTAAGTAAGTAATCAAAGTGATAACACAAGCCAGTCAGTCAGTAACAACGTAGAACTTCGTACGTACGTACATCAGTTCAAGTTGCCATACCACATTAGAACAGAGATGCAGTTGTCGATTCAAATCCCGTAGTGGTAGAGGTAGCAAGAGTATAAGCAGTAATCTGGAAGATTAGGGTTTGAAGATGTTATTCAAGAAGTATAACTCAGTGAAGTAAATTTGGAAAGAGAACGGGACATGAAGAATTCAGAAGATTATAATTTGGGAGAACATAAAGAATAGATGCACCTGCGCCATTGCAAACGATTTTGAGCTATGTGTCACTCAAGGTCTCCAACCATCGGTCGCTATCATCTCCCGGATCCCAACCACATAGTCTACACCTGCTAACATGACTTAGTCCACTTGTCAGTGACTTCATGGTTGGCCATGTTTTGTGCGCTATATATATATATATATATATAGAGAGAGAGAGAGAGAGGGGGAGAGTCATTCAGTCAGTAACAACGTAGAACTTCGTACATACGTACATCAGTTCGAGTTGCCACACCACATTAGCACAGAGATGCAGTTGTCGATTCAAATCTCGTAGTGGTAGAGGTAGCAAGATTATAAGCAGTAATCGGGAAGATTAGGGTTTAGAGATGTTATTTAAAGAGTATAATACAGTGAAATAAATTTGGAAAGAGGAAAAAAGGGACATGAAGAATTCAGATGATTAGAATTTGGGAGAACACAAAGAGTGGATGCACCTGCGCCATTGCAAACGATTTTGAGCCATGTCATTCAGGGTCTCTAACCATCGGTTCTATCATCTCGGGTCCCAACCAGGTAGTCTACACCTCCAACATGACTTAGTCCACTTGTCAGTGACTTCATGGGTTTGTGCCATGTTTTGGCTTGGCCGCCTCTAGCTTTCTTCCAACCTACTCCTATACCACTGAACATAGCACGTCGAGGCAGTCGGTCGTTGGGCATACGTAATACGTGTCCCAGCCACCTCAACTGATGAACTTTCACTACTTCATCAATTGATTTGCCATCCTTACCTGGTACCTGTTTCCTAACAACTGTGTTACTTATTCGATGGTCCCAGGACTTTCTCAACTACTATCTCTCTAGACTGATGTTTAATTCATAACTAGTACGGAAAAGAATACTTTGTTAAAATCAAAGCAAAACCACCGAACAATTGTTATTATATAATTTGAAACTGCTCAGTAAATCAAACTACATTTAAATTAATAATAGTTGTGTACTTATTACTTTGATCGTCTTAAAAGTAGAAGGCAAATGAGTTTTATTGATATCTGGAGAGTAGTTGATATCTCCTACGAAAAAAAGATGAAACCATTGTTAAACATCTAGTCTTTACCAGCTATAAACATGTCGATTCGTGAAGTGGACATAGAGAGTACACTTAGGGGAGTTGAAAAACCCTCATTCCAAACCAATGGTGTACATGGGCTCCAGTATCCTACGGGAACAAATGGCGTATGAACCAATCGTTGGTCACCGGCTACCATGTGACTGCATCTCCTTACGATGCTCTACTTCCTTGTGGATCAGACCTTCAGGTCAAAGGCTCCGGGTGTGGCTCCCTAAGAAAACCACCTGTTTCGGTTTGGGCACCCGGGCAGTATCACAGCCCTTACACACATCGAATGAGATTTGTGTGGCGGATATGTATTCGGTGCCCCTTTGTAGCAATATCTATGTGTTAAAATAAATAAATAAATACAATTCGTGAAGTTCGTCTAAAGAGAATTAGATACAATGGAGAGCAAATTTCAGTAAACAAGATAACAAAATACTCACAGTAGTTAATAACAATTTCATACGTTCCTGAGGGTAGACCATTTGAGAAATCATCTTTATGAACTACAAAAGCGCTTAATTTACGAAAGTTTGGCAAGGCAGCTATTCTCATCCATACTAATAGAGCTTCATCAGTCTTAAATGGACTTGAAGATCTCGCTTGAATTGGTTGAGGCCAATTAGGTGGCTTGACTGTATTATTGAGAGCTATAAATAATCAAAATTATTAAATATCAGATATTTCAACAAAAGATCATCAAACTGATTGAGGTCATTCAACAATTCTCAATGTAAGATAATAAATATCATAACATGGTCAATATGAGTACGAGCCAATTTTTCATTTGAAAGTGACGAAGAATTCAATTCGATTTATGGAGAAAATTTAAACGAATGAATATTACTGAACCTGATCACTTTTAAGGGAACTATGGATCCCTGTTACTGTTGACTTTACTGGAAATTTCGCGGTATATATTTCCTCATATGTCGTTGCTAATTACAGATGACTGAAGAGAATGCATACGAACAGCATCGTCTCAAATGTTACACGACTTCATTATACATTCATATATACCTTTCTATTCTGGTTTTACAAACCATATAACCCAGACTGAATCTCTTTTTATCCTTACTACTACATTATTATGATCTCGTGTGTTACTTTTATCCCGTCGTGATGATATAGTATGATAAATTGGGGAAACGCACATTTATACCAGGCTCTATGATGACGATGTCGGTCTGTCTATACCACTAATCTTTTCATTTAAACCTAACATCTTATCTGGGATATTATATCAAGGATATTCAAGTAAGTTGGCTTGAGAAGTATGATGATACAGGTTATATAAATTCTGGAAATTGTTTATTAGTAGACTGATTTCAAAGCTGTTTTATGAGTTGTTTGATGCCTAAAGCACAAGGATTCAAGGGAGGATAAGACGTATGGTATTACAAGTATCCTGGTAGTCGATATATTTTATTTAATTATGTGACGATGACTATCAACTTACGGAACCCTAACCAAATCCCGGGACGTAATTATAGTAATGCAGCAGAAGTTTGATTTGATTTGTCTTTTACGTAAATATTTTTACATAGTACCATTACATTTTAAAAAAAGGTTGTTAAATTAGGTTACTGCTTATTTCAGTGAAGTGATGTTTTGATAGTAAACTTTGCACAAACTGATCATCATATAACGGAAAACTAATATCAGTAGATGGATAGATGTGAAAGAGATTCATCCACAACTAACTTCCACCCTCCATATTTCATCTAAGCTCCATTTATGTGAGTTTATACAGAGGTAGTTTGGAACTAGCTGGCCTAAATCTGAAAAGCTGCATAAGTTTACCGACCATATCAGTGTAATAAGTTACGGTTTAGAAATGTAGACCAATTCAAGATTATGAATATGAAAAAAATAGATATTTTTTAACTAACCGTTTGCATTCAAGGTCCCAAATTTGCGATTAACATCGGAAGGCCATGCTATACCGTTTGATGTGGTTGTGACAGTAACTTTGGTATTATCATTCCGTATATATGTCAGAATAAATGTGTCATTAAATATACTGTTTGCGATTGCACCACATGGAAGTATTGGTTTACCCTCAATTGATACATATGGGTTACACGAAGATAATGAACTTGGGTCTTGATAAATACCAAGCAACTGTTCATCATTTTTAGATCGTGCATATCGCCGATGATTTTGATAAAAGTTGTTTAAACCATAATATAAATAAACAGGTCCAGGAATAGATGATTCAACAGAAATATGTTTAACACAAACACACGGTTTCCCCAAGGCTATTACTTGAGAGCATAACTCTTCAGTACCATTCTGAGTACAATCTGTATAGTCCACAAGATATTCTACAACATTATTTGATGCTGTTAGTAATATAATACCAATAGGTATCAGCACAATTCCAAAAACTGTGAAAGCTATTCCAGATTTTTTAGCAGTAAACATTGGTTGCCATGCCGGGAGTTTTTGTTGAAAAAAAGCAGAATTTCTAGGTTTTCGTGATTTTGAAGAAGTTTCTAATAGTTGTGCACTCATAGTTCAAAAGTATCTACAATAATAAGAGTTGATTTGGTAATGAATACTTAAAATCGACTTCTGAATAAATGCAAGCTAATGTTATTCATAAAACTGTTTAAAAAGTCACCTAAAATTTCCATTAATTGTGAATTAGGGATAACACACCAACAATAGGAAAAATAATGCCCTGATATGGCCGAGAGTGGGGTGGGTCCGCCCGCTCTCTCGAAATGCTTTCACATGGCCACGCGTATACAGCCTCTGCAAGGGAAGTCCTACTCACTGCCTTCTCGTGGTGGGGGTGTTGTTCACGAAATTGAGAGGACGAAAAGCGAATGTCCGGCGCTTTAACCGGATCCCAAATCAATAGTGCACATGGATTCCAGTATCCTGAGGGAACAAATGGCGTATGAACCAAATTTAGGTCACCGGCTACCATGGGACTGCATCTCCTCACGATGCTCCACCGCCTTGTGGGTTGGACCTTTAGATCAAAAGCTTGGGGTGTGGCCCCCTAAGAAAACTACCTGCTTCGGTTTGGGCACCCGGGAAGCATCACAGCCCACACACACGCACACACAAATATAGTGTGGCGCACATATATCTGGTGCCCCCTTGTACCAATATTTATGTGTTGATGAACTGACGGATATCAGTCTTGTACAGGTTTCTTTTGGACCCCGGTACCATGTCTTAAACTGACCACCTCTTTCTACAAGCCCCAACCTAGGGAAATAAGGCACGATGTGGAAGTCACTGGAGTCCGCGTTTCAAAATAGCGACGTCAACCGTATTATGACCATTGTTCTGAAAAAAACATTGCCGAATTTCCGCACTAATAATATGGCGTTGTCACTGAATTTTAACGATCCTTTAGAGACAATGATGACTTAACACACCTAATATCGTAAACTCGGAGGGGACATGATTTACCAACATACAGCATGGCTGCTTTCACCCTACCTTTTACAGTCAGACAAGTATTACGACAGCACCATAGAAGGCGCAGATCGGCACATAGCACTTTGGTTTTCACTAAACGCAAATTGATAACCAGTTCAGGATTCAGTATACCCACAAATGAATTTTATAAGTTCCTATACCGTCGCGCACAGCCCCAGCAAGGCCAATGTTAAATACAAGTAACTATTTATAAACAACAATTATAAGCTGTTTCTAAAACGTAAATTATTACAATTAGCGCAAAAACAGAATAGTACGGTCAATTACAAAATGGACAATAAAAACACACCAAATAGTAGCAGAAGCATAATAAAGTGAATCAAAAAGAGGGCTAACCAAGTTCATGCAAAGAGTTGATGTAATTTCGTGACTGGTAGTTAAATAAACATAACCAGTCGGAGATTGAGTCTAAGAAGGTGGATGTTTAACAATAAATATTACTGGTTGGTTCGCACTCATTGGTCGACATTAACAACCAAAACATGCACGATTAACTAGATAAAAGAACTTTTCGACTACTTCTAACGGCCCACTCGCAAGAGTAAGTGCAGGGACAGATGCCTGTTGGTCCGCATTTAGGTGCAGTGTTATCGCTAAAAGCATATTTATGACAGTTAAATACAAATGTGAAAGCGAACAACCCTGAAGAAACCACTTGAATTACCCTATTCCGGCGACAGTTCGCTATAAGCTCTGACTCGATCAGTCGTATTCGAGTGGGGAGCATGTACAACATTCACGTACTTCTTTGATACGCCTTTCAATCACAGATACTGCAACAGAACTTCACAATTAACGAGGTCGAACGCCGCCGATAACTGTGTTTGGTGCCCATGTCAAACATTTTTTAAATCTTGAAACTTGTTTGAGTTGGTGTTTTAGAACCAAGTTTTGTCAATCCCACTTTACATTAAGAAACCAAGTTCAAGGGGCAGGCAGCTATGTCCATCTCAATTTTGTATACACTTTCACACCAGGTGATCGTAGAGTAGAGCTTTTTTGGAGAGCAGTTATAAACGCACAGCTACACGAAAGTATTTTAAGAGGAAAAAGGACCCTGTCTGGTACCGATCATGCTAGGGTGATTAAGGGAAAGATAGTCACATACGCTAGTTCGGCAAAATTAACTGAATTCCTCATATCAAAACTGTTTTGCTTTGAGCTAACTCAACACTGAACACTAGCGGCGCTTTCTCGTTTAATATTTACTTATATTTAAATAAGCCATCTGTAAGCTTTCAAAAAATCCGTCATGAACCTAAGAAATAAACTGAGTTAATGTTACTAATCCTATCCATATACGAGTGTAAGAACAATTTCAAGAGGAAAGGGTGGACTGCGAGAAATTCGCTTTGGTTTTTGGTGTTAGGGTATACATGGTTTGAAACTGCAACGCAGTAAAATAGAAATTCCCCAGACGAAACTAGCATTTGAAGGTCAACATCCTCATGCCTCTTAAGAGATACTAAAGAGAAGTCGGCTTTTTGTAGCTGGAAAAAAATTGTGGGAAGACTAAGCACAAAATTACTTTTTATATAGTAGATGAAGCATTATCTATCATCTTTCGTAAGCGCGTATATATTTGTTTTCATTATGTATCAAGAGTGAAATTACCTATTCGATGTAATTTTTACTCATTTGCAAAATGATCACTTTATAGAGAGGTTGAAGTCTTTTAGATTGTACTGAAAACATCATAATCTAAAATCTTTGACAAGTATTGCATAGAAACTTTATGATTAAGGGCAATTTACGATGTAGCAGTATGTTTGAAAGAGCATATTGCTTCCAACAATTGAAATTTCCTTAGATTAAAATGAAGTGGCCGGAGTCAACCATAAAAAGTCGACAAAAAATATTTTGGGAACGAATAATTCAAAATAGAGGAAGCGAGTTTTAAGTCTCCAAGTGAAATTTAAATATCTATTTAGCAACAAATAGCTTTTCGCCACCATAGGATAAAAACGATGGTCCTAAACACATGAAATCCTTGGCGAGACGATAATTTGTGGATAAAAGGTCCCGGATTTTGGCGCGAAATCCACTCATCCGCTTCACAAGATAGAGTTTTGGTATTATAGCTGATGTTAGTTTGTGATGAAAACCCTGGATCTAATTACTAACATCACATTGGTTTATAACCCTCATTTGGTCCTAGTTATTAAATGGACACTCTCAAGGTCGATTAGGTGTCGCTCAAAAGTCGGCCGTAAATTATAGTCTCACCTAAAACCCCTAAACCTGAGCACCTAATCGTGGAAATAGCTAAGGACATTGTGGGGACTTCATCTGGGCTGTTTAAAGGATATAGGCAATCTAGATTCATCACGAGTTTGTATCTAATCGTCTTCTCGGTTGGCGAGGAGTCATCCGTTACTAGACCAAGTATTATGTAAAATCTGACATTCTGGGATGACTCTTTTGCATAAACTATCTAATCATAAAAGCTGTTTCCTGTATGGCTAAAAATAGCCAAAAGTAGCCAGCTGTTTAAGACTTGTCTCTCTACGATGTCGTCGTCAAAAGCGTCTTTGATATGAACGTTTTTATAAGGGACATTTATGGTTAGTGCAACGATATCAGTGAACAAAACCAGGCATTTTCGTGTATATTTACAGACGTTGAGTGATTGGAGCGTTGGCCAATGACTCCTCGACGAAACTGAAGTGCTTTGTAGAAATCTGATGATCAAATATAAGCCTATTACAGGAATATATCAGGAAACCCATAAGCATTATATGTTATACTTTCATTGTGGTCAGCCTAGAAAGGACTGCTGACAGAACAGCAACTGCCTGTCGCTTAAGTTTTGATTTCATGTGAGGCAAGATATAAACTAATCCGAAACCAACTCACTTGAACGTCTAGAGTCTGGTAATTTTATGTGTAGCTGAAAGGAACCTTGTAAGCTGAGTCTGGAAGAGAAAAGAACATAGGGAAAGTAAACCAAAGACTCGGAAACCACAGAGAGTGCACAAAACCTTAATAAAAAGATCAAATGATAACAATCAGAAATAGCATAAAGGTGATATTAGAAAAACACCCGACACTCCATACCAGAAGTCAAAACTGACACGAGTCAGCTTAGAATGGAATCAACCGCTATTTCGTTTCAGCAACCTTGAGTGACTTCAGTTTTCAGTAATAAGGTTAAGAGGTTGTAGTGACTCACATTTATCACGAGAACACGACTGGTTTAATAAAAACAATTGTTATTATAACCAACTGTACCAGTGCTTGTTTTAATGCGCTTTTGTTTGACTGTGCTAATGACAGTTATATTGTGCTTCCATTCTGATTCTTAAACTTTGATTGTGACTTCGCGTTACGTTCTGTAACCAAGCTTGTATCCTGGCACGATCTCGGTATCCTTTCGATACCACGAGATCGCCAGCAAATATATATCTCGATTTGGTCCATTAACTGCCTTCTGGTATTTGGCTTCTCGGGGATTTTATGGATTTATTTGGTTACGTTCAACCTACGCCTTCTGATTTATTTGGCACGTGTTTCTTGGTAGCGGTGTTCATAGTTAATCTCAACTCGACGCCACGCTACAAGGTCTATAGCCATTATTAATCCTTTCAGTTTGCAACACTGTGGAGGTCCAATCTCGTTTTGAATATATCAACGGAAGTTGCTGATATTACATGTTCTGGCATAGAATTCCAGTAATTCGCTACTCGTCGCTAGAAACGAAACTCCAGACGTAGACGATTTGATCCAGGCTTTTGAACTTTCTACGAATGTCTTCTCAAATGATCAGTCTCAGACGGAAGGAAAACTAGGACATAATAATAGTATTGTCAACTTTCAGTATGCGATAAGCCAATATTAGGCCAACCCGTATTATACGGTACGATAACAGAAATAAGCTAAGGTGTCTCAATCTGTCTTCATAAGATAGGCCAGATAGACGTTTTTCCATTTTAGTCCATCGTCAATGGACTCATTCCAACACATCTGCCTCGTACTTAAAATATTTCGATCTTCTGCCGCAGCCCAATCTTCTCTTGCAATGAGAAGATTTTCCAAACATGTGAAGTGGAACAATATTACATGTACCCGTATTTCATGGTCGCAGTAGGTCGTCCAGTTTTCCCATGCTATGAGTAAGCTGCGTGCCATGATTTCGTCATTCCCTTCCCCAACACTTACTGCTCCTTGTTAGATTATAAACAATAGTCGGTAATTTCATCAGCATATCAGTTCAGGTTGTGGCTGTCATTATCGTGAGTTCGATTGGGCCTGTGTTTGACGATTCTGATATTCTGTTGGGGATTGATATAGTTACCGCTGTTGTTATTTCTAATGGGGCCTTGTGATTCTCTTTCATTGATGCCACAGGTATATCTTTATTCGCAGCAAGCAGACGTACCAGAACTAAGTACAAGGGTGACTCGGTGTTAGGAACGAGCTTATGTAAGTATGTAAGGAGGCTGTCAGGAATGTCTAGAGTTTCACAGGTTATTAGGAGGTCACCATTGAGTCGCCTATGCTCGGATAAGTAATCATCCGATGATTAAGGGAGTTCTTCATAATGTTAGAATGCAGTCCTAGGACCGATTTTGAGGCTGACACTCCAACACGTCCCAGTGTATTCTTATTCTTTTGAAGTGAGGGGGAAAACAAAATATGTCAACTCTAAATAGGGCCAGATAAAGATGTTAGAGACTAGACGGTGAGTACCATCGAAAAACTGGCCCAAAGCTCACACAACTGTCACTAGTGCAGGGCTACTTCGGAAGGCATTCTTGTCATTATTAGAGAGAGGCCTTAGACCATAGAGTACCTGTGCCTAGATCTTTCTCAACTTGTAGCACATTTAGAGAGCAGTTATCTAATTTGTACGTGAATTTCGCAGCATCTCTCTAATGAATTGTTTCGCACTCTGAAGTTTCATTAGTCCGTTGTTATTCCTTCCAATTTTCAGGTCCGTTCAGATCCTACTGAAGTGTCAGCCCGTCATCTTGGTTGCAACATTTTCTCCAATGTTTAACATAGTCAGCAAAAGGTAATAATTCAGGTGATACTCCTAGAGGATGATCGCTTATAACAGTGAAGAAGAGACATCCCATTACTGGCCTCTGTGTAACCGCACTACAACATTCTGTAGCCTAAACGAGCATGGTTCACCCAATACATGAAGTTTCGATTATCCATACATGAGTTGGACCAGTTTACAGCCTAAGCTTATTGATGAGACAAATATATCTGACTTTATTAAAAATCTTCAAGAAGTCAGGTATATCACATCGGCGTTCTGTTATGTCCTGACGAAGATTAAATTTCGGGTAACTTTCAAGAGCTGTTTATGAACTGTTTATATATATATATATATATATATATATATATATATATATATATATTTATATATATTCCTACTGTGTTATGAATAAATAACTATGTATGTTTATATTCCTTTTATTACAATCTTTCACCTAACCTGTTGACTTTTACTATACGATTAACTGTTCCCGAGCCACTCCCAATTTAGTTGTCACAGAGTCTGGCAACTACAACCACTTCCATATAATTTTTATTTTCTATTTTATGGTATGATGCGGTCTAATTTGCTTGTATGTAAACTGTGTGTGTTTGAAATATATGATTCATACAGTAAAAGCTGTGTTCTTAACTCAAACAGGCAGGACTAGGTAGAAGGACGAATTAGGACTCAGAGTTGATTCTAGGTTGGTCGTACTAGTTAACGCGTCATTGGTTTGCTAGAGTATCACGGTCATACAAGTCGGTGTTCTAACTGGTAGAATTAACCACGCGATATAATAAACAGGTCAGAAGTCACAACACTTCACTAGCATTGAAACCGCCGTCTTTGATATGTGAATGGCCTGAGGATTAAGGCTTGTTTTGAGATAAGCTCGATCAGAAAATCTCTTAAGCGGTTTTGTACGTTTTAGAAGATAGTGAATGACATATAGCTTAACGTATCATATGTGTTTTCTATCTTTCTGTGAAATATGGTTTCGAATACATCACTGAGTAACTCTTTCACACGTTTGAGAAAATATTTACTAAATATCCAATAACTATATGACTGGCCTTTCCAAGCTGATTATCTTCTTTGCATTTGCTGCTTGACGTTACGACGTTAAACACATTTTCATCGTAAAAAGAAGAAACTGTTCGTTTTCATGTACACAAAATATCGAATTATCTACTATCTTTATGAAGAACTTCGTTAAATCGAATGTCTCTATAGCTCTCGCTTCTTGTTGTTTGTGTTTGGACAGTTTCCACTTGCACCATTAAAACTAAATATATAATTGACTAAATCAGCAAGGATGGCGTTAATCTCCTGGGATTGATTAATACTAGGATGATAATCTGATATTTGTAGTTTACGTGACATTAAGAGCTAGACGATTATTTATCCCTGAAGGTTTATTGATCATTATTTTGCATGAAAGAAGCAGCAGAAAAGCAACTGTATGCGAATTTCATTGCACATAATTTAGTGTAAGATTATAATAAATACTATCAAACAGGATCACTCCTGAATTGTATGAAAGTTCCCAATGTATATCGTATAACAAACGAATCGCCACAGTAAGATCTAATGAACACAATATCTCTTTTCGAGACAAAAAACGAATAGCGATTGATGATCCCAATAAATGAATATCAGTATGTAATTCCTGATTGAATTTAGATGTTTGACTACACTTCAGTTTAGATAATGCATGTGCCAATTGAGCAAAATGAACGCATGATAATTTGTTGATCTGATTAATAATATGACGAAGAACTGATACGTAGACTTTTGGTTCCGAAAATTTCCAAAATATCCAGTTAGCCTTAGTAAAGATTCAATAGATAAACTATTAGCACAAGATGCCGTTGTCAATACTAAAAGATCGAATTTTTCCGATTTCAACCAAGAATAGTCACGATCATTATAATTGTCTTTAGTAATGTCTTGTATGCAGCCGTGTAGCCGCTAGACTAATTATATTGTCGAAATCTCCCAAATATTCAACTATCAACCGACAAACAGGTTCTTGCATCGTCGCATACGGAAAAATTTATTGGAGCACTATTTAAAAAATAGGGAGAACTGTGCCTAAAACTTAACACATATGCGTATCTTCAAATGCCTTTTCATAATCAATGAAGTTGATGTATAGTGACGAATTCCACTCAACTGATTGTTCGATGATGATTCGTAGTGTCGCATTTTGGGCTGTGCATGACCGATCCTTACAGAACTCAGGTTGTCGGTCTCGAAGTTGGGCGTCTACTGCGTCTTTCATTTGGTTCAGCAGCACTCTGTTAACAACTTTCCTTGGTACTGACAGTAGTGTAATGCCTCTGTAATTTTCACATTTGCTCGCATCTCCTTTCTTTGGAATCTTCATGAGGTGACCTTCTTTCCAGTCCATCGGCACCTGTTCCTCCTCCCAAATCTTTTCAAATAGAAGGTGAAGCATGTTTGTAGTTGCTTCGATGTCTGACTGCAGTGCTTCAGCTGTGATGTTGTTGAATCCTACTTCTTTACTGCTCTTGATTCGTCTGATGGCCATTCCGATTTCGTCCGTCGTTGGTGGATTGACATCTATAGGAAGATCTATGTGTGCTGCTTCGATGTCCGGCGGATTTATTGGAGCCGGCCTATTCAGGAGTTCCTCGAAGTATTCTACCCATCTGTTACGTTGTTGTTGAATTTCGGTGATTGGCTTGCCTTCTTTGTCCTTGACCGGTCTCTCTGGTTTACTGTATTTCCCTGCTAGTTTCTTCGTTGTATCGTAAAGTCGTTCCATATTTCCTTCTCTAGCAGCTTTTTCTGCCGTCGTTGCTAGTTCTTCCGCGTATTTCTTCTCGTCGGCTCTAATGCTTTTCTTCACCTGCTTGTTTGCTTCTATGTACTCAGCCTGTGCTTGAACCTTCTCTGTTCGTGTTCGGCTGTTGTTAATTGCTATCTTCTTGTTCTTCCTTTCTTTGATCATGTCCAGTGTTTCTATAGAGATCCATTCCTTATGATGGCGCTTCTTTAGACCCAGAACCTCTTGATACGTTGAAGTTAATGCTTTGTTGACACTTTTCCAGTTTTCTTCTATAGTAGTTTCTTCTTCCTTCAGTAGATCCTGTAAGGCTTGGAACCTGTTGTTGAGAGATATCTTCA